ACTGTAATGCTGTACATCTCCTTAGATCCAAAAATGAAAATGCTGTAATATACTGAACATCATTTATTCACATACACACCCCTTCCTGGTAAGGTCTGACAGGGAGCAGGCTATAGAGGAGAAGTTAGGGATGAAACATCGGTAGTAGCCCGCCAACCCCAAAAAGGCCCGTACCTGTGTCTTGCTGGCGGGACGTGGGAACTTCTTTACCGCCTCGACCTTCTTTTCCTGGGGCATGATGAGCCCCCTTCCAATCTTGTACCCCAGGTATTTTGCTTCGGTGAGGCCGAGGTGGCACTTCTTGGGGTTGGCAGTCAGGCCAGCCCGCCAGAGCTCTGTCAACACCCTCCGTAGACGCTCCAGGTGAGTCTCCCAGCACTCAGAGTGTATGATGACATCATCTAGGTAAGCCGCGGTGTAGGCTTGGTGGGGCCAGAGCAAGATGTCCATCAACCACTGGAACGTGGCTGGTGCCCCGTGTAGGCCGAAGGGTAGCACCCGGTAATGCCAGTGGCCATTGGGAGTGCTAAAGGCTGTCTTCTCCCGGGCCTCCGGGGAGAGGGGCACCTGCCAATATCCTTTGGTGAGGTCCAAGGTGCTGATGTATCGAGCCTTGCCCAGCCGGTCCAAGAGCTCATCCACCCGCGGCATGGGATAGCCGTCAAAGGCGGAAACTTGATTGACCTTCCTGAAGTCGTTACAGAACCGGAGGGTGTTGTCCGGCTTTGGAACCATCACGATGGGGCTGGCCCACGGGCTACGGGAGGGCTCGATGATTCCTAGTTGGAGCATCTTCTTGACTTCCTCCTCTATAGCCGGCCGGCGAGCTTCCGGTATCCGGTAGGGCCGCTGCCGGACTACGACTCCTGGTGGTGTGCGGACCTCGTGCTTGATGACCGTGGTTCTACCTGGGGTCTCACAGGTTAGCTGATTGACACTCACCCTCCCTCTCGCTGTCCGTCGCTAGGTAGGCCGGTCTCAGGCTGGGCGGTCCCCGACGGTTTCACCGTGGCCCGTTCCGGGCGGTATGGCCTGGTGTCCTGGGGGCGAGGAGGAGCTTCTTGAACCCCGGCCAGTCCCGTCCCAGGAGCAGAGGTACGGGGAGGTCTCGCACAATGCCCACCTCGACGGCCCAGGTCCCGGGCTCCGCTGCCGGAATCCAACAAGGCCTGCACTGGTTTCCCCTCTAGCTTTACCTTTTTTTTTAGCTGGGGCCAGGGGAAGGTCCGTCCTGATGTAGGAAACACCCGGCCATCCAGGCTCGGGCCGTCAGTGCTGGGGGTTCAGTGGGCATTGGTTCATCCATGAAGTCGGGGACCGCCGGTCTGCTGCCTGGTCGTGGTGCACCTTTGAGCGGACGCCGCTCCATCACCCTGCGGGGCGCCAGGCCCGCTCTCTCCCCTGCCTCGTGGGCGTTCGTTGCCGCCGCCAGCTCGACCGCCTCTACCAGGCTGTGGATGTCCTGGGGATTTCGCATACTGACCGGGCGCCTCAGCGGGGGATGTCCTGTGGATTCTGCATACTGACCGGGCGCCTCAGCGGATGGGGCAGCACCCGTAACAGCCGATCGACGAGGACTTTCTCCGCTACCTAGTCAGCGGTAGGGGAACCGGAGAGAAGCCACAGGTGAGCCAATCGGGCAAGTTGCGCAGTTTGAGCTCTCACCGTCTGCCGTTCATCATAGGTCCATTGGTAGAATTGCTGCGCTGCCCCCATGGGAGACAGGCCCACCCGGGCTAGAATTTCGGCTTTTAGCTCGTCATATTTTTCATTCCGGGGTGCCTGCAGGGCATAATAGGGCCCGCTGAGCTTCTCCGGTGAGGAAGGGGGCGATGATGCGAGCCCACTCTTCCTGGACCCACCCCTCCCGGGCCGCGATGACCCACACTGATCACACGTGCTCGGAGGAATGGTGCTCGGTGCCAGTCTCCGTGGGGTGAAGTGCCGTGGTGCAGATCCCTCTCCTGGGGTGCCATCGGAGTCTGTGGATAAGGAGAAACAAGCATTAATGTCGCCTGGAGCTCCGTTGCAACTCCCCGCTGGTGTCTCTTCTCCTGGCTTTTATGGCCAGCGGGAACGAGCTCCAGGTGCGCCACTCATCACGCACAGGTGTTGTGCTTCTGTGATCAGTGTGGCAGCGGCGTTTCCAGGGCGACGCTGATCTGGACCCGGGATACTCGCCACATCCC